TCATCAAACCACTAATGTCCGATGAGAAACCAGCAATATTTTTGGAAAGATACTAACGTTTGATGAGAATTTACTGACGTTCGAAATTCATAGCTGTTCCTGGCCAGTTGGTAAGGGTTAGCAAAATCATGGTTATAACGGGTTCCTGGCAGACTTGTATATTAGCTCTCTTCTCTGTTCTCTGTTGTTTTTTGGCGCGTTGCCCTGCTGTTTTTATAGTCGAGACAAATTTTCTAGAAACTTCTGATAATACCGGTTACGGAGGTGGATATATTGTTGATTCTTGTGTTCACGAATATACTGCAATCTTGGAGAATTGGCGGGAGTTTCGCCATACGTAACTAACATGGTAAGCTAGACACCCCCTCAAATGTAAACTTATTCGAAACAAACGTTGACATTAAAATAAATATATATTAAATTCGTTATACGCAACACATATCTGATACTACAAGTCATGCATATTTCTAAAAACAAATTCAATCCAAACAAAATTCATATTAAAAATAAATACATAATGATAAATTCATTACAAACGCAATAATAACATTATTCTAAGTACATTTACATTACTGGTGAATACTTTATTTTTAACGACCTCTCAAAGTTCATCTATTTATAGTGTGCGTACGCTGTTATGTAATTTTAACAATCATTATTAGACGAGGATCTAGGTTTAATTATGTAGATAAAAACATACATCTCTTTTATGCATTAACTTTTAAGCTAGAGCTCGTATTCTAGGGTTTATAAAAAAAATATGTTCACTACAAAGTTGGTACGCGTGAAAACATTGAACAACCACATAACAGCGAAACATAGTAAGCAACCACAGAATACAACCATTTCCGAAAATGTAATAGTTCCAAACGAAATCTTTTTTGTTTGTTTCTTTACTGTGCTTCAGAATAAGCTGTATAACTCATGCGCTATCAAGACGTATATATATATAGTTCCTGGAAATAATATGTACTTGTAACCATTCCGTACGATCTAGACTTGACGTATATCTATAATTCCTGGAAATAATATGTACATGTAACCATTCCGTACGATCTAGACTTGACGTTCCTAGAAATAACATGTACATGTAACCAATCCGTAAGATCTAGACTTGACGTATATCTATAATTCTTAGAAATAACATGTACATGTAACCATTCTGTACGATCTAGACTTGACGTATGTATACAATTCCTGGAAATAACATGTACATGTAACCATTCCCTAAGATCTAGACTTGACGTATATCTATAATTCTTAGAAATAACATGTACATGTAACCATTCTGTACGATCTAGACTTGACGTATGTATACAATTCCTGGAAATAACATGTACATGTAACCATTCCGTATGATCTAGAATTGACGTTTGTTTATAATTCCTATAAATAATATGTACATGTAACCATTCCGTACGATCTAGAATTGACGTATGTCTGTAATTCCTATAAATAATGTGTACATGTAACCATTCTGTACGATCTAGACTTGACGTATGTCTGTAATTCCTATAAATAACATGATACGTCAATTCTAGATCGTACGGAATGGTTACATGTAACATGTACATGTTATTTCTAGGAATTATAGATATATGACAATTCTAGATCGTACGGAACGGTTACATGTACATGTTATTTCTAGGAATTATAGATAACCATTCCGTACGATCTAGAATTGAC